AATAATAATAATAATAATAATAATAATAATAATAATAGTAACAGTAATTGATTGCTTACAGTGTGCTAATACTGCTTAAAGTACATGCTATGTCAACAGATTCATCACAAAATAACAAAATGTTAAAGTAATGTTGCTAAGAAATTACTGAATTAGGGGGAAAAAATTGTTTTTACAACAAATTTTTCTGCATGATCGAAGAAACTAACTAACAATTCATAGGCATAAATATTGAATAATTAAGCTTAGTCTTACTTTTTTTATAATCTTAATATCGCTATGATTAAGCTGGAATTTTCCTTTAGCAATTGCTCGTTTTAATCTTACTTTTTCACCACTCGTACATTCTAATCTATTTACTTTGTAGTAAGAAATCATTGCTTCAATATTCACAAAAGTTCGATTCTGAATAATTTTGTTATTTTAATTTTTAATATTGAAAATTTAAAATTAAAAACTACTATTCAAGTGTGAATAATTAATTGCAAACTTTTTAATTTCTAACATATACACCAACTTTCAAAGGCATTTGTAACTAATTCGTTCATTTTTTTTTTTGGACAAAAGATTAGTTATTTCTAAATTTAATATCAATTACAAGAATTAAATAATATATGCATGTAATTAAACTGATCAAAATACTAATATTGCATGCTATAAAAATTAAATAAATAAGTAAAGTAAATTGAAAAAATGATTACATTTATATTTTTTAAATAAATTTTAATGCAAAATAAATTAAATTATAAACACTTACAAATATTTGACATTTTTCGTTAATTTTTTGTATATCAATGCGTAATATTTTTGTACCACTTTTAACTGCCAATACAATTTTTTTGCTTGTTCTATTAGCAACACATTTTGATTGCAGAAGGAAATCACCCTCGTTTATAAGTAATTTGTTAGCATCTTCGTCTAGTAAGGCCCCATGGAAGTATGGCAGACGATATTCCTCGTTCATTTATTTTTTAATTACTCATTCATTTGATTGCTAACTTAAATTAATAATTAGTATTACTTTGAATGAATAAGTATTTATTGCTTTTCATTTTTCTTAAAAATGGCAACTAATCATCTGCAATAAATCATCTGTTGATTATTAATTGATCAAAATTATTCGAATTGCTATAATTGAAAACTTAAATAATACATTTAATTGCTTCGAATAAATACTTCACCACAAATTAAAATTGAATCAGAAAGTGCAAACAAGCAAACAAACCACCTGACATTAATAAACAAATAAAAATGACTAAACAATTTATTAATTACTGATATTTATATTACTGATATTTATTTTAATTACTGATATTTATAACACTTTTCTCTAATAATCTTTTAAATTTTTTTGATTATGAAAATTTGATATCAAATTTAATCAAATGCAAAATTTTGCAATCTTCG